TGTCCAGATTTTAAACAAGCAGTGAGTGCAAAACATAGTGATCTTCAACAGCCTCTTTTTCAGCACTTATTATTTTATTCTCATGAATGTATGATCTGATAGAACATTTCTCTTTACATCAGTTCTGGCTTAGAAGGGGTCCACAACTAGTACTGATTTCGTGATTCATGTGACACCTATGAGCTTCATAGCTCTTTTACATGATTCAAGTGCAGAAGCTCCTTTCTCAGCTGGTTGGTTTTAGATAAAACTTGGGATGAGGAGGTTTGATGTATCTTTATTATCATGGGATAATAACTGCTACGGACTCACTGAATTGCAACTTTAACCTTTTTGCTGAAGAATCGTGGGCCTGATAACATCGTAAAATATGCATTTTCCAAGTCTTTAACATTTAACATAAGCATCTCCTTACTTTTCATCATGAATCTACCTACCATTGCACTTCAGCCAGGAAAGTAAATGTTCACCGGAAGCTGATTCAATTTAATGAATGGACCTGTCACACTTAAGTTTGTTGTTTTTTAAAGACATGGACATATCAGTGATAAGGTATTCAAGATCATTTTCATATTCTGCATTATTACATTGCCTACAATGCAATTACACAGGGGATGGGTTTGGCTTGTAGCATAACAGTATCAGTGTAAGCAGTCCAGAGCTGAGGTTTCACTCAGTAGGTAAGAAGGTTGGCTTTCCTTCTTCTGTAAATCCTCCACGGAGTTTCACACATCTCACAAGTTAGACTATAAATATTTGGGGTTTTAAAAAATATTTTAAAGCCTACTTTGTTTATATTTCATTGTAATGGCACCTTTGTTAGCACGTGCTCTTCTCATTTGCTTGGACATTTTCCCCTTTTTTCCTTACAGAGAGGTATTGGTTCTGTCCAATGCTGTAGTAATCATGTATCAAATTCTGATTGATACATCAAGTCAATGAAACAAGAACAAAAAAAAAGATGTGCACACTCTTCTGAAGTCTGGCTGTTTTCTCTATGTTGTGGGCAATCAGCCATGCCTCTTAAAGCAGCTTCTGATAAAGTTTTGCAAAGTAAAAAGGGATTGTTTACTTTCTGGAAAAGTTTTGAAAATTTTCAGTTGACTGCTAAACAGATGAAAACTTTCTAATTTGTGGTACAGGTGTCCTAGAGGATGGGTTTTAATTAAAAATCACGTTTTCAGTTACATTTCAGCACATGACCGGATAAGACACGTAGAAACAGAAAGATAGCACTAAAACAGAAAGATAGTATTAGAGGTATACCCTTTTGTAAAGACGACCATCTTCCTTCCGAACACCATCAGCACTATAAAATTGTTACAAATACAGAATATATTATGTAAACAAAAATATAACATAGCTAATTATTACCAGAGTATTTCTCACAAGGATCGATTTCTGTATTTAGAAGAGGCAGCTTGGACGTTTCTTTTTAGTGTTTTCTCAGAATTTTTGATGAAGTTTCCAGTGTTCCCAAATCTTTGTGTCAAATGTCTGTCCATGAGTGGATACGTTCAGGGCACTGTGTGGCATGCCAGGTGGGAGGCACCACTACCTGTGCATGGCATGGAACTCCAGTGGTGAGACACTCATTGTGGGTCCTGCTCTAGAGATGACACACTGTACTGGGTCTGGCTGAGATGGAGTTCATTTACCCCATGGCAGCCCTCACAGTGTTGTGCTTTGCATTGGTAGCTAGAAAGGTGTTGAAAACACATCAGTGTTTTGGCTCCTGCTCAGCAGTGCTGGCACAGCATCAGCATTGTCTCTCCAATGATCTGAACTCCATCAGTAGGCTGGGGGCAGGCAAGATCCTGGGAGGGGACACAGCTAGCACAGCTGACCCAAATTAACCAAAGGGATGTTCCATACCATATGAGGTCAGCTTTGACATAAAAGCTAAGAAAAGGCAGAAGAAGGGGGGCAGTATTCATTATTTACAATGTTTGCCTTCTGGAGCAACCACTGCATGTGCTGAATTCCTGCTTCCCGGGAAGTGACTGGAGATTGCTTGCTGATGGGAAGTAGAGAATAAAATTTTTTTTTCGCTTTGCTTGTGCACATGCAGCCTTTCACTTTTGCTGTTGCAAACTGCCTTATCTCAACCTATGAGTCATTTTCCATGTTATTTTCTCTTCCATGTCCAGCTGAGAATAGTGGTACAGTGGCTTGGTGGGCACCTGGCATCCAGCCAAGGTCAACCTACCACACATACATCTCTAGTAGCAAAGGCTCTTGTGAACACCATAGATCCAATGTTCTGCTACAGTGGTCACTATACTAGCCAGACTGCTACAGCAAACATTCTCTTGATTAGCACATACTGTAGCACATCCAAACTATTAGAACATCTTATTTCCAACAATATCTGCCTTTTAGAATTAAACATCTCCACTTACCATTTTGCTTTGCTCTGGTAGCCCACTCAGAGACTTCATCTTGGGCTCGCCCATCTGTAAACACAATGGAGATTCGAGGGACATTTGCTGAAAATGGTCTTGCTCCTTCTGTTTCTGTGAAGCTTCTCTCAGACATTTGCTTCAGTGCCAGTCCTGTCATGGACCCTCGCCCCATGTACTTCATTTGTGAAACAGCTTTCTTCATGTCTTTGGCTGAGCTGAACTGCCTTAATGTAAACTCTGTGCGAACCTCAGTGGAATACTGAAGCAAACCAACTCGAGCAGCTTTGGGTGAAATCTCAAGTGTATCCAAGATTCCTGAGACAAATTCTTTGACAATTTCAAAATTATCCTCTCCAAGACTTTTCGATCCATCTATCACGAACACCAGGTCAATTGGGCCTTCAGTGCATCCTGTGAAATGAGCAGCAGAGTGTTTAGATCATGTAAAAGCTCCACAAAGCTGGCATCTAGATACCCAGGGACTGCATAAACTCAGAGATCATCTGAAGTACCCTGTTTCTGGTTCATCCAACTTTGCCAGTGTGTCTAAAGATGTTGTCTATATCAAAAGCTAAGTGTGCCTATGGCTGAGAGCTTAACAGAAACATAATCATAGTGAATATTTACTGAAACTGCTTTGCAGAATACTACAACTCTTAAAAATACACTAAAAATTAGCAAATTTTAAGAATTACTGTTAAGCAAAGAGAACTATGGCTGAAGAACAAAGCTAGCATATTGAGACAGTTGCCATCATTTTATTCTAGGGATAAGCCAGTATGATAACTTTGCATTTGTATTGATGATCAGCACTGAGCAACATGGAAGAGAATCACTGAAGCTGCATTTGTGTTGCAGAAGTAGCAAAAGGTAAAGGTGGGACAAAAAAAAAAGAATCAGTGAAGCTACACTTTTATACAAAGTGAAAATCTAGGAGTCATATGTAAGAGTATCAGGGAATGGGGAGGCAAAAGCCAAAGAGCTTGGGGAAGGCCGAGTGAGAAGGGTTAGGTAGCCTGCCCTACAGCTTAGGATGAGGTTCAAGTCTGGGGACAAAATTCAGACAATTCACATGCTTTTATAGCACAAATTTAAACCTCTAGTGGCAGAAAAACAGTTAAAAAACTGTGAGAGAATCAGAATTGGTTAGGTAAATTTTTTTGTCATAACTCTCTAACAAACAAAAGGCTTATGTACTGCTGCAATTAACCTTTTCTGGTTTACCCATTAAAGATGGGAGTTTGTCAGGGGACTAACAAATTTGGAGTTCTTACACTTTTTGGCAAGTGCACATGCAAAAATCAAAGCAATTTGTAGGCACTGTTCATCCATGACAAGGTTAGGGAATTTAGGGACTGCAGAATGTCTTTGAAGCTACAGACCACTACTGCCAGGTGCTTAGTGGTTTCTTTTCATTCCGAGAAGCAATTGCCTCCAGCAGGCATAGACTGCTGTGCTTTGTGCAAGGGGCTAGCTGCAGAGATGCTCAGCTCCCATGTGATCAATGTAGCTTCCAGGGAGAATTTGCCATACTAAGGAATGTAAGATTTGCATCTGTCTGGACCAAATAAACTTTGACCTCATCTGTGGTCTTTGTATAGTAAGAATGCTGTGAGCACTATACAAAAAAGAATTGTGCAGCACAAATTACTCTGCAGAAATTATGGAGATGTCTGTTACCAAATCAATGTAGGAATAAGTAATTTTCAGCTTTGAAGCTTGGACTTCTTAGAAAATAGCTATTTTAAAACTGCTGCCCAAGAATTCCTTTGTGCAGTCATCTGAGAAAAAGATGCCTCACATGTACTAAGGTGATGCAAATGCAATGAGTATTAGAACCACCTCAACATCATTGTGGAAGTCAAGACAGGGCAGCAGTTCATGGTGCATGGTTTTAGTTAGGACTGAGAACAGCCATGAGCATGTTACCATTCTTTTGGTAATCACAGTCTCCTGAACTAAGGCATCCACTTTTGGCAGAGTAAGTGTTTTTACTGAGTTCCAGTAGAAGAATTTCTCCTCCAAGTACTAAAAGATGATGAGATAAATGCATGTCATGCTGGCAGATAAGCAAATAGAATGAATGGTATTTTAAAATAGAGTTTATCAAGATAAAAGGTCCATATTATATGAATCTGATTGAAGTGCACATTTCCTGATTCCACTTTAGCTTTTTTCTTAATGTTTCAAAAAATTATTATTGTACTTGATGCTATACCAAAATAACTGTTCCAGTTTGACAGTATTTTGCTTACAAGAGCATCAAGTTAATTGTTTGAGATATGTTCCACCACACTCACATATGCTTTGGGCTTTCAAATATTTTATCATGTTTGAAGTGAAAACTTGTGGCAGTGTTAAGGCCAGGCTGGATGGGGCTTGGAGCAACCTGGTCTAGTGGAAGCTGTCCCTGCCTATTGCAGGGGATTTGAAATTAGATTATCTTTAAGGTCCCTTCCAACCTAAGCCATTCCATGATTCTATGACTTTTTTTTGCAGTGAGGTCAATTAATTTTAGAAATCAAAGAAACATATGCTTTTCAAATAAAATGTACTTACTTCTGCATCTTTTCTGATCCTCTTTTAGTACATACCCCTCCTGGCATTTGCAGATGTATGAATCGCCATTATTAACACAAATATGTTCACAACCATGGTCAACCGATTTGCAGACATCTTTATCTAGGAAAAATTTAAATTTATTTATGTATGCTATGTAACATATTTATAAATTCAGAGACTCCAAGCATGATATTTGAAGAACATAAGAGAAAGGACTATAACATCTTTGTTGGTGTACACAGCAATGCCAGAGAAGAGTCTGACAGACAGAATGAGTTACTTACTTCGACATGTTTTCCCATCTTGCTGCAGGACAAAACCCTCATGGCACTGACAGGTGTATGAGCTGTTATTATTAATGCACACATGTTCACAGCCATGGTCAATAGATTTACACAGGTCTTTATCTGAGAATTGTTAAAAGAATTTCTTTATTAGAGCATTTCTCAAATGTAAAACTGGCATGAACAAGCTTTGAGTGAAATTAAATCTGTTACTTCTTTTATGACTGAAAAACATATTCCCCATAAAAGTTTCAGCTACTCACTCCTGCATGTTTTCCTGTCTCGCCTCAATATAAATCCCTTGTGACACTGACACGTGTATGAATCGCCAGTTGGAACACAGACATGTTCACAACCATGGTTGGCTGTTTTGCAGACATTTTTACCTTGGAATAATGAAAATTGTATTTAGCACAGTTAACTAGGTAAATAACTTCCACAAAATATAAAAATTATGGCAATAATTTTCCATGAAGGAGCTCACTTCCATGAAGTTGATTCTATATTAAAGACACAAATAAAACACGACTGTGGCAGAGTGTGTTTCATGAACAGGTCAGGAAGTGCAAAACAAAGATTGAATAACTCACTCCTGCAAGTTTTTCCATCTTCCCTCAGTATGAAGTCTTCATGACATTTGCAGACATAGGAGTCATCAGCATTAACACAAATATGTTCACAGCCGTGGTCAACCGAGTCGCAAACATTTTTATCTGAGAAGAGTGGATGGGGTTTGTGAGTTGAGGCTCATAAGGGAGAGATAATATCTTTTTCTAAGCAGCCCAAATAGTTGGAAATAGCAAACATACACATGTGCAAACACTCACAGCCACAATATTTGAAAGCCTCGAATAAAAACATACTTCTGTAGCTCAGGCTACTCACATCTACATGTCTTCCCATCTTCCTTCAGTATGAATTTTTCATGACACTTGCAGATGTAGGAATCTTCAGTATTCACACACACTTGTTCACAGCCATGGTTGACTGAATTACAAACATCCTTGTCTGCAAACAGGAGAGTTGGTAGTCAGCATACAGCAGCAGAGACCTCAAATATATGTGTAATTCATCAAATTAAGCTCTCATGTTACTTACTTCTGCACGTTTTCCCATCTCGTCTCAGTAGGAACCCATCGTGGCATTTGCAGATATACGAATCACCAGAATTAACACAAATATGTTCACAGCCATGGCTGACTGACTTGCAAAGATCTTTATCTGAAAACAGATGACAGCTTTGGCTGATTAATTAATTTCTACACAAGCATGAGCTGCAGATACAAAGTATACTGATAAATATCAGACTACTTACTTTTGCAGGTTTTTCCATCTTCTCTTAGCAGGAATCCTTCCTGACACTTACAAACAAATGAATCACCATCATTAACACAGGCATGTTCACAGCCATGGTTGACTGATTTGCAAATGTCCTTGCCTGGGAATAGTTAGATAATATTTAATGTGGTTTGCTAGTTAAACTTTTTTTTTAAAATACAAAGACTGTGAGAGTAATCCCACAAGCAAAGACTGAAGCCTGCAAACTGAAATCTAATCTCTGGCTAGTTAAATGATGGACAGCTTAGCTGACATCCAGCAGGAGTTCGTTACCATCTAAGCAGAAAGAACTGTGTGGTCTGGATGGCCTCCAGCTGACAATAAATAATTTTAGGATTAATCTGGCTGGATTAAGGAGGAGGAATTTAAATTAAGAGCAGTAAGAGTGAAAGGAGGGAATAATTTAGTACTGTCATTTAGCAGAAATTCATGCTGGTAAAAACAATTCTTTAACATCCTTCCATCAGTGCTAAGAGTCTGCATAAATAAACCACAGAAGAATAGGAACCACTTATTTAAGACAATAAATAAAATCTAACTGGTGTTGCTGAAAATTGGTGGGAGGACTTGTATGACTGCAATGATAAACCAGTTGGTTAAAACCTCTTCGAGAAGGATTGATAGGGAGAAAGTACAGAAGAAAATGGAGCCATCTATCAGCATTCCATGTTTCTTTTTCATTGCAACACAAAAGAAAATATTCTGTTTCTAATAGAGAACTAACTTCACACAAAAAGGGAACAGTACTGATAGCCAAGTTCAAATTGACTCTTCAGGTTTAATGTG